AGATTTGAACCGCTGACCTGCTGATCTAGCAGTAGCCTGCAGTGCTGCATTTAACCACTGCGCCACCTTGGCTCTGACTGCTCTTTGCCCCAAATCATCTCCTAGATTATTCGGAGATGATTTACATATTTGTAAACAGTCAAATGTAGATGTTTAAGGTAATCCAGTAAAATTGCTAAAGTTTAAATAACAATAGGGAAATGTATTTAATCAAACAACTTCAAATTCATATTTTGATATATGTTCTTTAAGTTTACAATAACGGTAGGTAGCCCTCGACCTTCTACCTCAATTGAGCCCAAATTTCGTGAGACATTTGCTAAGTGAGTTTTTGTCCCATTTACAACCTTTTTGCCACATTTGTTAAGGGAATCACTTAACAAATTAGTAACATGCTTAGTTAGTACACATGTTTGTTAAGTGAATCTGGCTTCCCCATTGACTTTGCTTGTCAGAAAGTCACAAAAGGTGATCACATTACCTCAGGACACTGGAACCGTTATAAGTATGAATCAGTTGTCAAGAATCTGAACTTTCATGACATGACCATGGCAATGCTGCAATGGTTGTAAATGAGAAAAATGGTCTTTTCAATGACATTGTAACTTTAAGTGCTCACTAAATGAACTGTTTTAAGTCGAGGATTACCTATAATAATATCATCAAAAACTTTTAGCAGCAATTGTTTTTCACTGTATTTCTTTTTCCGATACAAGGTCTATATAGAATGTTACCTATCAGTCTGAAAAACAAAACATTCCTACAAATGATAAAATTTCCTTTGAATGCCTCATTTACAAGGGCTGATTTACAAAGCTATGTTACAAGGGCTGTACCATAACTTTAATTGTGAATTATTTTTATACTTTATGGTCATTAAGGGAATCAAAGTGGAAGGATACACTATATAAAGTTTTGTTTTATTAAATAGTCTGTGTTAATGCAGTTGGAATTAAGAAATGATTATGAAGAAACAATAGTGCCTAAAGAAAATGTAGTACTCAAGCAATACATTTTCTTTAGGCACTATTGTTTGTTCATAATCATTTGTAATCATAGTACTCAAGTAATAGCAACCAACAAATCATTAAGTTTTTAAACTAAAACATTTTTAAAATCAAATGTGATATTATGGTTACAAGTATAAAATACTTCAACTTCGATTTTTGCCATTTTTCTTGCAGGATTTGATAGTTTAAAAATATTGATAAAGTTCATTTCATTATGAATTTGACCTTTCTTATTTCATTTATAGTAGTTATTTGTAATTTCACATAGAAATCTTCTTGTGTGAAGTAGCTTTTAGTCTGGAAAACTGGAAGTTTTTGTTGACAATAGTGGTACTGAATGGATTATTGCTTGCTTTAATTTGAAAGCAGCTCCAAATCTTTCTCCCTTTTGCACTTCCAGTATACCTTTATTTTGTAATTTAAAAGAAATGTGTAAGATAATTGATATTTTCACCCACTGAAAATCTTATGCCTCTTTGCGTAATCCACAAATCTGAATGTAGAAACTTAATTGCAAAGAAAATAATGATTAATCCCTTTGAGAGCTAGACTAACAAATATACTTAACATTTCAGTTTATCTTTATTAGAAGAATTTGACTGCAGCTGTAATGAACTGGAGTCTCTACCTCCCACCACTGGCTATCTACACAATCTCCGAACTTTAGCTGTAGATGAAAACTTCCTGAGTGAACTTCCCAGAGAAGTAAGGATTTATTGGGAAATACAATCTACTTCAGTAATGCCTAGTCTTCATCTAAAATATTTTTTTTCATTTGTATCATTATTAAGAGGTATCAGGACTGTGTGCTTTAGTCATTTATTGAATGGGAAATGATAGTATCCAAAATCCGGGTGGAGTTTGAACTATTGTAGTTTGCAATAGTTCCAGATTTAATTACAGTAGAACCTCTGGTCACGAACCCTTTTGACCATGAACAACCTGGGGGGGGGGGTGTTATTTACAAACAACAGCAACCCACTTGTGGCCACTGCATTAATCTTGGTTAGGTTCGGGTCACGACCAAATCAGGTTGCAACCAAAGTTACAGAATGAATTATGGCCATGACCAGAGGTTCTACTGTATAAGTGTATTGATGATAGCTCCCTCAATCATCTAGTGCTACTAAATTGCTTTCTGTCCAGAAAGAAATGCAGCAACTAATACATTTCAAAAAGAAAATGATAAGAGTCTCAGGAGATTTAAAGGTATTTCTTTATGATATCAAAGTAGTATTGGTCTGTAATATGGAGAACAGTGGTTAGATGAATACTGTGTTAACAGGCAGCAAAAGCCATCCTGTATAATTCCTTCTGAATAATTTATATTGCAAAAACACCCAACGGATTACTGGAGACTTTCCTTCATTAATAGTTGAAGGACTACTAACATCTAGCAGACCACATCCATAAGCATAATCAAGGAGGACCAATTTCATTTTTCTTTCAGATTTATTTTGCCTTAGTAGTAGTATTTTTTGAAAACTCTTGGCCCAATTTTTAATCATTCATTGGGTGAGGGTCTTTTATTTTCAACCTTTCTAATCATGGAATCAAGGAAGCATATTTTTTATTCTGTGCATGGAATCTTTTATTATTGTTTTTATTTTCAGAAAAATATTTTTTCAACAGAAACAACATAATTTTCAATAAAAACCCAAGTTTTCATGATTCAGGTTCCATACAGTTCTTGGGTTCCATAAATGCCTGTAGGAGTAATCAGTTAAAGATGATAAAAAACATCTTATTCCCTCCCTCCTCCATCTTCAGCTACTTCTTAGTCCTGCATCTTTAGCAGACATTAGAATCAACTGGTTGTCTATTATGAGAATTGTTTCTGATTTCTTCCCTTTTATTAGCATAGCTTGCAAGACTGATAACTGGAACACCTAATCATGAACATATATAATTAGAAGAGTATAATATTTGTAACTCTGATTTCTACCTTTCTGAGACCTGAGACAGTGCTTTATTGAATGAGAAAAATTATGGGCACATCCAATAGCAATCTTTTCAGTTTTAGAAGATTTCTCCTTCCTCTTCATCATACCTCCTCTATACCACAAGTAAACAGACAGTTTAACAACTATAAGAAACAGCTCTAAGAATTTTTACAATCTTGCTGGGGCAGGTTATCATTCCAAGGCATCAGATGTTCTTGAAAAAGAGCAATCTCATTCATAAGGTCCTCATAAAATAAAAGATTAGGTTTGTGTTATTATTGTATACATGCACTATGCACCTATGTTCTATGAGTGGGGAAAAAAACATACACCTCTAATAGAAGATATACTTCCACATGACTTTCTTCATCTGTTGTAGAGGTATCTTTCATAGTGTATAGAAATCCAAGAAGCAGAATGGCAGAGAATGTGGCTTACGGTCTAGATCCAGACAATGTGATTATAAGTGAACATTATTATCTATTATTTTGCAGTAAACAGTAATAAAAATGTAGTGCAGATGACTTAGAAACTGAAGAATCATCCAAAGTTTACTCTAGTGGCAGTCTAAGAGAAAAATGTTCTCTTTTTTTGTTCATTTTAATTAAAGGTTAATTTTAGTGATCAAACATGATTGCAATCTTAGTGTTTCAGAATGTTCTCATTTAATTTCAGTCATACAAAGTAAAAAACAAGATCCAATCATTGACTGCCCAGCTAATCATTGTCTCTGATCATTTTATCTACTCCAGTATTCAACTCCAGTATTCACAGCAGGAATTTCATGTTTTTGAAAACATTTCAACAACTGCATTTATTTCAGGATACACAATATAGCTATAAAGCTGCTAACTGGACCCATCAGTCTTCAAAAACCAAGAAAGGCATTTTGAGACTTTTCTAAACAGTTTCCTTTAATGTTTCCTACCTATAGACAGAATCTTCCCAAACTAAAGCAAAGTACTTACACCATAAAACATATACTCTTAAGATGTCTTAATTCTCTTTCACCCAAACAAACTCTCTAAACCAGTGGTTTCCAACCTTTTTTTNTACTATGTAAAAGGCTAAACTCTTTTCTGACATAATAATTTTCTTAGGACAAAACATTTTATGTGTAAAATATTAACAAAATGCATTATATCTGCGTGATGCGTTTTTATGATTCTTACAAACATCAATTGTCCTTGCATTTTATTATTATAAGCAAAATATATAAATTGAACTTCTAAAGGAAGTTTTATTGAGTTTGGCCCTAGTTATATAAGATAAATAATAGTGGGGAAAGTAATCATTCATCTGTAATCTACTAAAATCATGACAGTGAAAACATCTTCAGACACCACTGGCTCAATGACTTTGAAACAGAGATGAGCACGACCCTGTATAGTGGCTACAACTAGAGGAGTAAAATCTGCAGGGATTCTACATAATATACTAAAATAAGTCTATTATTATAATCTGGGAGAAAAGAACAATAAAAACATTCTATAGGCCTATTCAAGTTGTCTATAAATGATAGTCAATGACCTATTTCCAATTGCCAGGTTAATTTACAAATGATTAAAATTAAATAATGTATTATTATATTATAATATAATATATAATATTATATTAAACTTGCAACCCTGCAAGATAGTTCCCATGTTAAAGGCCAGCTCTTCTTATAAACTGTTTGGACATTATTGAAGAATTTATAAATTGTATTATCTCTGACAAATAAAACCTATCTATTCCTAGTCTCATGTTTCAGTGGTAGCATCCAAAGTCAATACATGCAACAGACAGCGTGGAATATTATGGATTATAAATTGAATTTAATGTCAGTTCAAGTGTCCATAATAAATTATATGCAGCATAGTAAAAAAAAAAGCAATCTGTGAATTCATTCTCCCATTAGTAATTGTAAAAAATCTTCCATTTCTAACACAAATCTGTTTCAGATAATATTCAGCAAACTACTGATATAAAATACTATTAATCATATTTAATACAGTTAAACATGTATAAGTGCCACATTAGTAATTACATCATGGCAAGAAAAGCAGCAAGACATGGTTATTTTTTTCATTCTTATTGCATCAGGGAGTAGTGGCCTTGTTTAGAGTGACACACTCTGTTGTGGAGGGAGGAATCACAGGAATAACCTCAAGGCCACTATGAAAAATATTCCAGGCACTTTGCATATAAACTTACTTGAATCTACCCAGAGTTAGACTCTGCCTGGACAGGTCCAGGTAAATTGACTAAGGCATTGTTTTGTTCTGTTAATTGGTAGATGTTTGACCCTGTAAATCCTGAGGAGACAGTCAAGATATTTGGTGCAATTAACGTGGCCACCTATCCTTTAAACTCAAGACCCACCTGATTATTTAAAGCTGTCCAGATAGTGACAAGTGGCTATGCCATGTAGTAATGAATGCATCCTTGAGTAAGGGAATGGCTCATCCCTCTCAAGAAGCCATCACTTGTCTGAACAATTTATCTTCTTGTTAAGGTTTCAGCTTATAGGAGCCAAGATGAAGTGAATAATCTATACCGTTTTTAAAATCAGTATTCAGACCAGAATATAGTATAGAGGTGGCATTGATCACCCTTATTAATGACCTATGGCAGAGCTGGGATAGTGATGGTGCAGTTGCTCTGCAATTGTTCTCAGCAGTTTTCAATAACACTGATCATGTTATCTTCCTGGACCAAATGTAGATAAAGGGAGGAGGAGGGGAGGCAGAGGGACAGCCACAATATTGTGGTAGTTCTCAACTTTTTACCACAGCTAGTTCCAGTTGGTGTTGGTGGGACGGGAGAGAGAGGGAGACATTGAGTCAGAGACTCCTGTTTAACATCATTTAAATCACTGGGTGAAATCATCAGTCAACAGGGGATTGGGTATCAGTATGCTTGATCAATTCACTTGAGTTCTTCATCTCAACTCTTATCTAAGAGATGTTCAAGAGGTCTTGTTTTTACAAAATCATTATTTTTACAAAGGATTTTGCTAGAAGTTAAAAATCTCCTCTATCTGTATAGCCAGCCAGCAAACCTATCTATCTGACTTCCTTCCTTCCTGGTCACTGAACTATGACTTTTCATATTTCAGTAAAGGAAGACATTTTGGCATGGTTTTTTTTAAAGAGATGAAGTGATCTTTCCACTAAATGTTCAGAGAAATTTCTGAAAACAGCTAAAATACATATTTCTACACTCATGAATCAAGGAATGTAAAATATTTAAGCAATACTTAAGACCTGTTTGGTCTTAGAATGTCAAGTTTCTCTGAACAGTATTCAATAAGAATAATTGATTTTAAAGTAATGAGGAACCATAATAGATAATTTTATGTCATTAATGATAATATATCATTAATATATTAATTTATAGGGTTTTAAAATTAATTTAACTTCAAAACAAATGATTTAAATATTGCATTAATGAATAAAATAATTTGTAGACTGGAGAACTATTCAGTTCTTTCTATAACAGGAGTATCAAACTCGATTTCATTGAGGGCTGCATCAGGGTTGTGTTTGACCTCAAGGGGCAGGGTGTGGCCAGGGTAGGTGTGGCTAGTTCGGCTTTACTCATGTCAGGGGGCCCCTTGGTGGACCAAGTGCTAAGGCAGGATTTCCCCCAGACCTTCCCTCCCTCTCATTATAATCTCCTTCCTTTTCTTCTTTTTCCTTCTCTCTTCTCCTTTCTTTTTCCTTCCCCTCTTTCCTTCTTT